CCAGTGGAAACCTCGTCAAGTTGGCTCCTGTGTCCTTTTGACATGTCCCCACATTACTTTCATTACTCCTGGCATAACAAGATGTCCCATAAAAAGACTTTCTAAACAAGCCAGCATTGTTAATAATAGGCAAAGCAATAGGGAAATAATCATTCAAAAAAAAGAAAGGGGGAAAAAGGGATGCACTGCCTCTCATTGAAGTGAAAAGTCCAAACTCCTTAACATGGCATGGAAGAGAAACTTAAAGCAAGAAGCACTGTGCTGTATTTGGGTTTTAGTGAGGAAAAACTTTCAGGATTTACTTCATTTAAAAAAAAAAGTATAATGGGATCAGACATTTAGCACCATAATTGCAAACTGACATTTTTGCCTTTGAATGTAATGTACCTTTGGGAAAAGATTAGTAATATCACTGGTACTTCATTTATCTTAAGTGATGCAAATTTTGAACCATTATTAAAGTTCAGAGACAGCATTGTAATTTATCTAAACATGGTGTAAACATTCAAAACAGCTAAATCATATAATAAAAGGTCTTTATAAATTCAAAACAAAACCAGAAAACCTGAAATTGTGCCAATGTCCAATAAAAGAAGAGTAATTGAGATAGAGTCATCCAATGAAATATTACACAGCAGTGAACATAAATTAACTATCACAAACACATCAGTGTGAATCCATCTCACAAATGGAATGGTGAGTAAAAGAATTCAAGTCACTTTATGGTTGCATTTATGTAAAGAAGCAAAAATGAAAGTGCATTATTTAGAAATACATACATCTGATGAAAAAATAAAAAAAACAAGATAATGGTAAACATAGAATTCAGAATAGTAGTTATCTTTTGGTGAGTGGAGAAAAGGCAATGTAATAGGAAGACATGAAAGAGGTGAAAAAAGTTTCTGGTAATGTTCTTTTTCTTACAGTGGGTGATAAGTATATTAGTATTCAATTGACTTTTATTTTTATACTGTACCTGTTTTTATAATCTTTGGTATGTACTCAAAATTTAGTTTAAAATGTTTCTATAAATTTGGACATGTTAGACAAAGTACCTGTATTGTTTAATATAGTATTCACTAACCACAAATGACTATTTAAGTAATTAAAAAGTTGCACCAGCCACATTTCAAGTGTTGAATAGCCATATAAGCTAACAGCTACCACATTGGCAATGTAGATATAAAAGGTTTCCTTCCTTGTGAAAGTTTTGCTGGACCACACTGGACATAATGACTGTCTCTGAAAACTCCCTCCCACACTTGGATTTTCCCTTCAAGCTAGATTCTTGGAATCCAAGAGTACAGGTGACCTGTGTCTTGGGTACTGTCTTAAGTGGGATGCTTTGCAGAAGTGCCCAGGATCCCCAGCTTATTCCAGAGTGGAACAGCCACAGTACTGTAGAAGCGATGCACAGGATAGGCTGGAGACAGGCCCCACGTCTCTGCAGCCACAGAATGATGTGGAAGGGCCAGGGGCAGATAAAAGAGGTCGGAGGACCTGAAGGGCTTTTCATCTTTGAACCTAAAGTTCTACAGCCTGAACACCAGAGACAGATGAGAATGCTGGTTTCTCCATGGATGCTGGAGGGTGCTAGGGCAGAGACTGTTAGTTCTCTTCCTAGTCCATCCCTCCCTAGCAAGAGAAGCTCAACAAGGCTTCCCAGGGAGAAAAAAAAAAGTCTCTTCCTGTCCTGTATTTAGATACATCCATGTGGCTCAGATCTTCTCTCCGAGTTTACGTAGAAGGTTTTGTTAGCCTCTCTGAAAAGCAGAGCATGAGATCTGAACTCCAGTGTTGATTCCTTCCTCTGTCTTGTGGCCTAGAACATAGATGGAATGGTTACAGCTTTTGCCTCTTTCTGGACTATGAGGATAAGGGCCACACTTACAAATGCCAAAGAAGCTAGCTGTAAAGTACCTGGATTTCTGATGCTTTTGTGGAGTGAAATAGCCATACTTATCCTGGCCTCTAGGCCTCCAAGGGCTTCCGTGGTGGCTCAGTGGTAAAGAATCCACCTGCCAATGCAGGAGATGAGGGTTCAGTCCCTGGGTCAAGAAGATCCCCTGGAGAAGGAAATGCAAACCCGCTCCAGTATCCTCGCCTGGGAAAGCCCATGGACAGAGGAGCCTGGAGGGCTACCGTCCATGGCGTCACAAAAGAGCTGGACACGACTTAGCGACTGAACAAGTGGACTTCCATATAAGGGAACAGTGTAACATCCATCTTTAAATCCTACTAGTTAGGGTTACTAACAGCCAGTGACAATGGCAAGGGATGAGGTAAGCAGAGTTTAGAGTGGGAGAGGAGAAAGAGAAAGTGAACCCCAAAGACCTCAAATATCTAGTATTAGAAGAGAGGCAACCAGCAGATGTGAGAGACTTAAAGGAGAACCTTCAAACAAGACTTTTGTTGTATTCCTTATAGAACTAATAACCAACATTAAAGTACTTTTCATTCTGTTACCCTTGTTAGATCAGTTAACACCAGAATTTTTTTTTATCCCAAAGACTCATATTAAAAAAATAAAATCAACTGCAATTTCTGCCTTAAAATTAACATCACAGGGACAGATAGAGTCGTTGGTTTACAAACTACTAGGAAGTCTTGATGAGGTTTAATGATTTTTCATTCATTTACTACTCCTTCATCAGTTTGGAGACTCATGTAAAAAGAGATTTGAGGGGAGGATAGGTTCATGAACAAGAAATAGCATGGCGATACCACTGGAGGTTGCTAGAATTGCCTAGCCTTTCACTTGGAGGGAATCCCTAGCAGGGGTGTGAGGCTTGGGACAAATTATTATGCACAATACCACATTCTTCCTACATGCCTCTTACAGGGTTGTACACAAAGTTATTCAAGTCAAACCAACATGAACTTAACTGAAGGCAGGGTAGGTAGGCAAAAAGTATACATGAGAATACCGTGCAGTTGAGTTGTATATCCAGCTGAAGAGGGGTTTCTCATTTCAAACAGCTTTCTTGACCGTAGCACTGGTTATTGGACCACCATCTAATACCACCGTCTCTATTTGAACTTCATTATCATTCCAGGTACCAGCTATACAGGGCTTTTCCTACCTTTTGACTGGGAAATAATAACTACTCTAGTTTATCATATGTCAGTTAATTGCCTGCTTAATTCTTCATTATGATTTTGGATCCAGACAGAAAGAATAAGAAATCATGAGTCAAATCAGTGGTTTGGGGGATTATCTTCACTACTGCTATTAGCTATATGAGCTGATGCTTTACTTTATAAATCACTGGGATTTCTGGTTGATTTTATTACCAGTTTTAGGTTGTGTGTATCCTTCTCATCCATTCATTAAATTTTAGTAGGAAGATGGAAGCTATTTCTATATCTGCTTGAAACCAAGCCCTGAAATGACGTGAATGTTCTACTTAAAATATAAAAATGTGTATCAAGAAGAGATTAGGGAAAGTTATTTCTAAAATAAAAGGGCATAGTGAATACTGTCAGATTACTTTACTCCTAACAGACTAAAAAACACAAGTATGTGACAATTTATAAAATAGAAATAATACTATTATAGCTTTTTAAATTTAGTTAAGTCAACAATTCCTGACCATTTTGGAATTCTGCACTCATGTTAATTGCCACTCTTTCTCCCTAATGCAGATGATAAAATCTGAATGATATATTTATGGAATTTTGATACATAATACAAACTAAATGGGTCCTGCCAAACATAAAGTCCAACAAAATCTTATATAACAAACCATTAATATGGGCTATAGTCTTATTCTCCTTTCTGCACTTTTAATTGTTTACTCTGAATTCCTTAAGGAAAATTTAAATTAGATTTTGAGATTCCAGAGTTTTGCAAATTTCTGCAACTGTAGGAAAAGGACTCATTTGAAAAGACCCTGATGCTGGGAAAGAGTGAAGGCAGGAGGAGAAGGCAGAGACAGAGGATGAGATGGTTGGACGGCATCACCGACTCAATGGACATGAATCTGAGTAAACTCCGGGAGCTGGTGATGGACAGGGAGTCCTGGCGTGCTGCAGTCTATGGGGTTGTAAAGAGTTGGACATGACTGGGCGACTGAACTGAACTGAGGAAAAGGACAAGGTATTAATCCTAACTTAGACAGTGAGCGCTTATCATTTTCCCCATTCCCTTTGGGGTGGTTTATTTGGTGAGGACCTTCCTGTGACTGTAGAAGTATAAAACCCATCAGATATGGCTGTAAAATAAGCATGATTATTCCATAGTACAGGAGGTCCTAGTTTATTTTCTCCCTTCTTCGCAGATTTACAGGGAAGGAAGGCTGGACATTATTGGCAGACCATATGACAAGAAATATTAATTGGTACAGTGTTTACAAATCACAGGGAGTGAATTTCAGATCCTGAGTTCCAGACTGATGCGATCCCTACTAGCGTCCCCATTTGCCGCCATGCTCAGGCTGGGCTTTGCACAGGGGTCCAAGATCCAGTTGCTTTTGGAACCCGCAGCCTCAACCGACAAAATACAGGTCTGATTCTTAGCTTGTGGAGAGAGTGAGGCGGATCTCAGTGAGCCGTGTTGCCGAGGAGAGCCGCAGCTTTGTTTCCCCGGGGAAGGGCAGGCGTCCTCCGGGCGCCACTGCCCCGCTTGGCGAAATGCCTGGGGGCTGCCTGGATCCCCGAGGCGGTGAGGTCTGGTCCCATCCTCCTGGCGGGGGGACGGAAGGAGCCCCCACACCTCCCACCCGAGCCCCAGCGCGCACGCTTCCCCACCGCGCGCGGTTCCCGGGCCCGGAGCCTGTTCACGCGCGCCGCCGCCGAGGCGCCGCAGGCCCTCCCCGCCCCGCTTCCTCGTGTCACTAGAGCCGGCCGGCCGCTGGGGGCGCTGTGCGGACTGGGGAGCACCGCCCCCTCTTCCTCCGACTCCTCCCGCCTCCTCCCTCTCCTCCGCCTCCTCCTCCTCACTACAGTTCCCACTCTCTGGGTGGGGGCGAGCGCGTCCGGTTTGCAGGAACCTTTCGGAAATGGCAACTGGCGCTGTGGAGGTGTTCGGGCTCCCGGAGGACGAGGTGAGGGGGACGCGGGACTCCGGGCGGGCTTCCCATCGCGCTGCCCATCAACGGGACTGGAGGAGGGGGCGGCGGCCAGAGGGGCGGCTGTCAGCGCCCTCCTCCCTCTGCGCGAGACCCGGGAGCGCGCCGGGCGCTGTGGGGACCCCCCGAGACGGCCCGGCTCGCTCAGGCTTGTGGGCGGGGGCGTTGCTTTAGGAAGCCGCATTTTCTTCGTGAGCCTGTGGACTCCACACCCCTCTCTTCCCTAGAACCGCCGCCTTCCTTGTCAGTTTCCTTCAGGAAGTGATGAGGAGGGGGCTAGGCAGCCCTCGGCCTGAGTGCGCGGGGGCACGCGCAGCACCCCGCCTGCCCCTTCCTGCCACCCCCAGCCGAGTACGCGTGAGCTCCGGGAGGGGGTGGGGCGCATTTCCCTGGAGCTTAGCATCCCGGCTGTTGATTAGCCTATTCTGGCAAAGAGAAGCCCTTTGGGCTTAACTTTATGGACTTTGACCTGAAGGCTTCCGAGAGAAGTGTCATTAGTTTTTTTCTTTTTCTTCTGATATCCTTTTAAACTCTCTTCGACGAGATGGGGATGGGAAAGCAGGGAGACAGATTTTTTTTCCCCTTCCTATTTAGCAACAAGTGTCAAGTGTGGAAAGTTCATGCTCTGTTTCCTTGGTCTTCACTGGTATTTTACAGATGAAGCCAAAAAAGTATAAATATTTAAAAGGACTTGCCACAGCTGTTCAATCTTAAAATTCTGTGATTTGAGAAGGCAAAACTGTGTCTTATTAGCTAAATAACTTATGCTGGTTATGTCTTGTGCTTATTAAAAACAAGCTTATTTGTAAAGCGTAGTTCCATTTTAAATGAGATGGGGCTTCCCTGTGTTAATTGGTGATTGTCTCAAAAATGGGAATGGGTAGAAAATGAAAAGGATGTCTAGTCTAACAATGACTGGTTAAATTTTGCTCACAAAAAATATGAGCATTCTTGCTGATTGAATAAGCTGTCACATGTACCTGTTATCAGGATTAGACCCAATTAACTAAATCCTTCGGCCTAATTTAGATTATTTGGATTGTTCTCAGTGTTGCAATAGTGCTTTCTCTTGGTAACTTGGTATCTTCAGTCTCTACAAAGTATCTTTATGTTTCTCTTGAAAGTTTTTGGTTTATAAGCAGTGGGCAACTTGTTGATGCAAGCAAGTTATCTCAGTGTTTTGAGAATGATTATGTGATGCAATTAGAATTGAATTTCTTAGTTATTGCTACCAGAGGAGAAACAAAGAAGTGGTGGACAAATGGTGGCCTCTTGGCAGTCCTAAGGAAAGACTGTCAGTATGTTATGGCTGAAGATAATAGTCGAGCTAACGTCCCATTATTGTTCTGTAGAGATCAGAAGAAAATAATGCAGTGTTGAAACTGTGATAGCTTTCTTCTTATCAGATCTGTCTCCCTGCTTGCTACAATAAACTGCTCAAGGCAGATAATCTCAGACTGGCATCCAACTCCATCAGGCTGGCCTTGGACTTTCTTTCCCGGTTGTTGTTAACTACCCAGAGGTAGGCTCTGCTAGTCCAGATTTCTCATCTCAGTTTCTTCCAGCAGAACCAATTGATCCTAGATATCATCTTGCCAGAGGTGTCATTCAGTCTGTTTCTCTCTTCCTCCATCCTTCTCCCTTCTTGGTACAGATCTGTGTTTTCGATTATCTGCTTCTCACATCATTCGTCTTCCCAACTGAGATAAATCAAATTATGCCAGTTGGTGGGTGGTCAGTCAGCAGCGGGTACTAAGGGCCAGAAACTCTGCCCTTTGAAATGAGGTTTTCCTAAACTGGCTGAAGGATTTGTACTTCTGGGCACTTTCATGGTGTGGGGCCCACTCTGTTGGCATGGTGGGCATCCTGGTTGTCAGTCTCATGACTCAGATTTCCCTCCTGATCTCTCTGTTCCTTTGTTCCTCACTGAGGAAGAATGAGATAGGAAGATAAGAGACATGATGATAAAGTGTCATCTTCCACTTCTTCCAGTGTAGTTTGGGTCATTCATTCAACAGACACTTTTTAGCAGTCTGTTCTGTATTGTGCAGTATGCTAGGCACCAGGTACACAGAAAAAAAAAGCTGCGTCCGCCTGTTTTGTGAGATGCTCATAGTCTGTGGGGAGGACAAAATCACTTGTATTCTGGTAGAGATTGCCATTTCATCACTATCATTTTCCTTTTATTTTCTAATCTATCACAAAAGTAAAAGCGGGCTTAGAAAATCACCCGCTCATTCCTTTTATTTTTTGAAGAAAAACATTGCAATTTTCTAAAACTCACAGGCTAGCCTTGGAATAGGCAGCCCTCTGCTGTTGGTTATAAGTGAGATAGGTTTCCTATGGCAGCAAAAAGAGATGATTATTTTCAATTAGAAGCAGAAACAAAGAGAAAAATGAATGGAGATGGGATAGACGATGGTGAGAGAACTGTAATTTAACCAGTATATGCTGGAGAGCCACTGAGTCACACTGTATGAGCATGTTAGTATACCAAAATTTAGGTCATTATAACTCTCTCTCTCACTTGTCAATGAGTTTTAGCTCTTCTTCCAAATTTAAGTGTCTTTGAGTAAGAGATGGTCCTGGCTCCGTGTACAGAATTTTGTCATTAAAGTTTAATAAACTAAGAAAGTAGTGTACTTTATACCAAATTTGCTCTGACAACCTCTTTTTAAAAAGTATTTATTTATTTGTTTGGCTGCCCTGGGTCTTAGTTGTGGCATGCAGGATCTAGTTCCCAGACTGGGGATTGAACCTGGGCCCCCTGCCTAGGGAGCCCAGTCTCAGCCACTGGACCACTAGGGAAGTACCTCTGACAGTCTCTTGGGATTAATAGTAGCAGATAACCCCCACCCAGCTGTGGTAAGTAGTGTGGTATGCATGGGGCCGGCCCCTCAGCATCCTTTCCTTTTCATTTCAGTGGACTGCTCTGTTACACAGAGGCTAGAAAGCTAAACACTATGTTTCTCAGACTCTTGCATTTAGCCTTCCGGAAAGAGGTGGTGAAACAGTTTTCCCAGTGAGGTACCCCTATTTAAGATGGGGAAGGTGCAAATAAAGTGATGCTACATAACTTCATGTTTCTTTGGCTTTTTCTGCTGACAAGCACAGTCATATAGACATTGAGTTTTTCTAACAAAAGTCTTTCAGTGCCCGATAAGTTGTTTTGTGGGCATTGGTAGGAAATTACAGAAATAGTGGTGGTGGCAGCTTCCTGGCTTCTGGATGGATTATGTTCATAAAGTGAGCAGCTCTGCTGGTGGCTCCGGATAGCCTTCCTTTCTCGGATGTGGCAACTTCCTGGGTAGGCCAGTTCTGAGGTGTTTTTGGGTCCTCTAAAGGCACAGCCTAGAGCCTACCTCTCCAGCTCTTTTGGAAGCACCTAATTCCCTGTATGAGCTTCTTTCTTCTGAAAATATCTAGAGCACCTTCTATTTCCTGCAGCTGAAACCTGACTGAAAAGGAAAAGAAAAGAAGGAAATAAAGAGGAAAGGATTGAGTCTCCACTGCCAGTTTGGGAGTTGAGTTTGCACATACAGGAGAATGGATGTCTCTGATGCTGACATCTATGACAGTACGTAAGCAACAGGGTTTCTAAGAAGTGCATGTTCTGACACTTCTAGACCCACTGTCACTGAGCAGAAGCAGATCCTTCCTTCCCTGGCATCATACTGAGCCTGAGAACCGAGTGCCCAAACCTGTATTGACTGCACACAAAGGAGGAGATGCGCAGTGTACGTAGCAGCCGTGTTTGTGTCTAACCCAGTACTTCACTTGTTCTTTCCATCACTGCTTTTTTGCAGTTCTTTAATTCTGGCATCATTCTAATTATTTTTTGTGGGTTTCCATAGGAACAAAGAAGTGGATAAATATAGTTCATTTTTAATAATTTGCTTTTTGATTATGTTAAACCAACTGAAAAGTTGGAAGTACAGTACAAAGAACTCCAAATCCTCCTAAAGCAGATTCTCCATCTGTTGATATTTCACCATAGTTGTTCCATAACCTTTTAATTGCCATTTTCATTAGTCTTTTTTTGGAACCATTTGAGGACAACCTGCAGACAGGATTCCCCATCACTGCTAAATACTTTATTTTCCTAAAGGTAGAATGCTTTCCTGCATCACAGCCATCCAGCCCTCTAAGCTAGGAAGTCAACATTGTTATGACACTACCACCCAAGCCACGGGTCCCATTCAGTCTTTGACCAGAGTTCTAATAATTTCTCTTCTTTTGCAATCTAGGATCCCATCCAGGAGCGTATGTTGCATGTACTTTGTATCCGTTCCTCAGTCTTTCTTATCCTTAACAGTTTTAAGGAGCACAGGCTGTATAACCTGTCAATGTTCCTCAACTTGGATCTGTTTACTGTTTCCTCAGGATGATGTCAAAGCCATGCTTTTGGTGCAGGAATCATCAAGTTAATACTGTATTCTTCTCAGAGTATACCTGTCGATGTTCCTCAGCTTGGATCTGTTTACTGTTTCCTCATGAGATGTCAAAGCCATGCTTTTGGGGCAGGAATTATTGAGTTAATACCATATTCTTCTCAGGGTATATCAAGGGGAACTTGATTTTGGCTTGTCTCATCATCTCATCATCATCTAACCTTGATCACTTGGTAATTTTGGTGTCTGCTAGGTTTCTTCTTGATGATGTTGCTGTTTTCCCTTTATAATTGATTGGTATTTTTTGGAGGCATATTCACAGACTGTGGGAGCATCCCATTCCTCATTCATCAGATCTGCATCTGCTAGTTTTAGTATCCATCCATGACTTCAACCTGAAACAAATGCTGCTGTTTTTATTTCCATTTTTATTAATTGGTGTTTTGTGTAAGAAGAATCTTTTCTTTCTTGGCCATTTGCTATCCATTTATTTATTTGTATCAGCGTGGGCCTGTAGAATCCCACCTATTCAGTGGGTTGTAATTAATCTCTATCCTTAAATATTTTATGGCTCATACTATCTCG